TGGGTGACAAAAGAAACAAACCCCCAGGTTACCCTGGAGATAAGGAAACAGAGCTTTGTCTATACTTGCCAGGTGAATGTTTGTTTGTTCCCTGGCATAAGGTTCAAGTGCCCCAAAACAGGGAAGCTGGAAATCTCTAAAGCAGAGGATTGGTGATGGAAGGTCGTAGGACATACAAAATCTTTTTACTGAAAATGTGAAGGGCCAGAGAATTTATAATGGTCTTTAAAATATTTATCTATCATCTTGTAAGAATCTCACATGCTTTCAGCAAAAGACAAAAAAAAATAAATTATAAACACTTCTTTTACATAAGCATTTTGTTGTTCTTTGACAATCTTTCTGATCAAAGGAGATTTGCCTTTTGTTATTGTAAAATAAACAGATTTAATCATCAGAGAAGACAGTCATTATTAAGAACATTATTACTCTTGTGTTACCACTTCACAGCATCTACAGGCATGGAACTCAAAAGGAAATTAATTTGCATTTAACAACCTAAAGAGCTCCTCACCTATTCCATAGCTATGATCTTAAAGCCCTGTTTGTTTCCTGAAACTAGATATAAGGCTCTCTCCTGCTAACAGTGGAGTGACTTCCAAGCTCCTAGAAGGCTCCAACTTGTTTACTAAGCAATTATCTGTGACATCTGAAGAGCTAATGGCTGCTTGTTACAATCTCTGCTGCAGATGGCCTACCTTGCAGCAAACCCAACAGGCCACAGCACAGACCCATACCTCCACTGCTCCACCCCACAGTGACACGTCTTCAGGTAAATCTGTTTTTGCCAGGGGTTTAAGCTAAATAACAAATCAAAATGGATGAGGCAGCTCATTCTTTTCCAGGGATGATACTTTTGGCAGTAAATAAAAGACAGTTAACTTTAAAATAACCAAAACAAGAGTCATTAGAAGTAACACAACAGACCCCTAAGACAAGCTGCATTTTGAAGATACATCTAGACTAATCTACCGGTTAGAAATATTTCAGTTCATTTTTTCTTTTCCTTCCTGAGGAAGCAATTAAAAAGAAGCAGCTGGGCAATATCCCCACAGCAGACAAATTTGGAGTCACTCAAGCAGCAGTTTTCTGAATTGACTACAATGTCACACAAATTCCACCATTCATGCCACAAAAAGGGACAATACATATAAATGTATAGCAGCACTGGTTCAGATGGGGTTTTTTCTTCCACTGTACAGGCAGAAATGAATTTTTATACCGTGATGAAGTAGATAGACAAAACAATAAAGAAATGCAGTAGTCATATTAGTATTTCAATTCTAACAGTAATATGAGGAAGATATCAAAAGAGAGCTGTCTGTGGCTGGCAAGGCAAGGCTCTCTCTAAACTACTTTTCAAAGCATTTGGCTTCAATTGTTCTGGTACATCAAGCATAGAGCAACCAGTGATGCTGTTTTAAGGAGAGAGACAACCAGAGAATAGAGTAACTCTCCACATGCAAGAAGGAATGAAAACACTCTAGCAAGATCACCTTCAGGTTTCAATTCAAATGTGCTTTAAGTGTACTGTTACCTTATTTTCTTTGTCCAAAACATACATGCTCAGAACATTTAGCAAGCAAGCACACTGCATGCTTAAACATAGCATAATGCAAATTATGGGTAAAATCATGGATCTTCTGAAGCCATAAAATTTACACTCAGTTCAACTTGCACTAGGATTTAATTTCTAAGACTTTGGAAAAAAAAAAAAGATTATTGAGAAGAGAGCCCACCTGACAGATTTCAGAAACTTTAAATGTTCAAGAACAGCACAAATCCCTGTTATCAGCTATAAGAGAAATGTAAAATACCATAGGTGATCCAAAATATCACAACTGTCATCAAAGCATTAGCGCCTCAAGATTTAGAGTCCCAAACAGATGCTTTCACATTCTAAATGACTGACTTGAACAGGAGTAATTTCATTAGGATACAAACATCTTTGAACATTATCTCCAGCCTTGAGTTCAAAATTATGGCACCTAAAACTGGCACCAATTTCAGCTGCTGATGAAAGGAGCAGTTCTACAGATCTGTCATTCCTGATTTCTCCTTCCTGACGCTTCCTTTGGACCAGCATCAGAGGCATGATTTGATGCAAGGTTCTGCTACAGTTCACCCCCGAATCTCTGAGACGTTGAGCTTCCAAAGCTTCCACAGACTTCAACTGGCAGAGTGGATCATTAAAGTCTGGATAAGGGAAGTTCACTCTACTAACAGCTGTGCTGTTGGAGAAGCTGTCAAACACTGATAACCCATGGGATCGCCTGAGGTAAACTTGAAAGAAAATTATCCAGCTAACTTTGGTAGTTGAACTACCAGTTAAAAACTGACAGTTAAACACTGACCAGTTAAACTGGGGGAACTATACAGGTTTGCTGCCAACACTGTTGATCTTAGCACATAGATAATATTAAAATATTTTTCACTGCTGTGGAGATAGTGGCCTTCTGTTAGAGGAAGCTCATGTCTCATGGCAGTCAACAAAATTGTTGCAGACTCTGAATTTGTTTTGCCTGTGTCATCTTCTCGTTCATACGCTCAACTTCAACTTCTGCGCCCTCCCCGCCACGAATAGAAGACTTCACCTTCTGACTTTTGCATGAGGTGTTGGCAGCAGCAGTGCAGTGATTGACCCATCCAGTTCTATTTACATTAGCCTAAGTGCCAAACACGTTTGCCCTGTATCAGAAAAAAACCCCTAACTACCGCTCTTTGCCAATCAAGCTGTTGGTGCTTAGTTTCAAACACCACAGCACAAAAGCCTTCTTCCTTTCCTAGGGTTGCCATAACAACAAGGAGAGTGCTGTCATTTTGCTAAGTAAAGACAATGACAAATATGTAAGAATTGCAAAGGTCTGGGGAACTGGGAGCAAGATTAGAGCTTCTATTCCTGCCTTTACAAAACATTTTACTGTGGATTCATCTTGCAAATCCTAAAATGCTCCTATGGGAACATGAGAAATAGCTGCTGTTAGCGCTCTGTGTTGCCTCATTTTTCAGAAAGCCAATGTTCTTCCTGCAGATGCTTTGTCAAGACATAGCATGGCATTAGTGATCAAGAGTACAGGATATGATGTTGAGCTCACAAATGCCTGCAAAAATCTGGAATTAATCCTAATTTTACAGTGATAATGCCATCAGACCTCTTCTCTTCAGAAGAAGGATAATGCAAGGAGGGGTTGCATCAAAGATGCCATTTGATTGAATGAATAAAATCATGGACAGATGACTCAAGTGCTCTGAAAGCTATTATCTGAATAATTCTTCTGTTAACCATGAGAATGGAAAGTATTTTATTCTTAATTAAATCAAAAAAAACACCTAGGACACTGACCAGAAAGATGGAAGACTGACATTCTTACCATTACATTCTGAGAGCTGCTTCTTTTCATGTAATTTTTGTTTAGGATCCCTCAGCCTCTGATTTAAGAGAATTAATGTTGTTTAATTTTTCCAAGTTGAGGGAAAGGCAGTCTTTTAGAGTAGCCAAAACATCATTTTCCTTTTTATGCACTTTCAAAATCTAATTATTCTCTTTTCTTCCTCAGCACTCAGAACAGTGACATTTTCACTGTTTGTTGCATTTGTTAATCAAAATAAAATGACTGAAACAATTTTACCCTAAATGCACAAAAAAAACAAGAGTCATTCCTCCCTTGTGCTTCTAGCTGTCTTCTAAAACCACCACATGCACAGTAGCTGTTCCATGACTCCAGTCTTCATGACTATGTCTCTGACATAGGTACAAAATTCCTCTCCAAGTCACCCTGTACTCCTGCCTCCTTCCAGTCCTCATACAGCTTCTGCAGTGTTCCTGGAATCTATCAGTCCAAGAAAAAATGGGCTTTACCTGTGTGGAGCTCATCACCTCTCCTGCAGAACCTTCCACTGCCTTATTTCACTGTTTTCATAAGCTCCCCTGAGATCTGCAGGTCCATACATACCAATCTTAACAATTTAGGATTTTAAGGGAGTGTTTCTACATCTGCCTCGAGGTTTTTATGCCAATACAGAGGAGAAACAACAACAAATCACAACTTCACCTAATGGTATAATCCACAAACTTGAAGAAATCACATTTACAATTTACTGCAACAACTACACAGTAAACCTATGCTTCTTTTTTCAGAAAGCTGTTTAATGATACATTAAGTTGGAAGAAAAAAATCATAGTTAGTCCCTTAAACAAGCATTTTGTCTGACACAGCATCTGTTTTAAAGCAGAACTCTCTCTGGATTGCAAGGGGACTTGTAAGCTAAATCAGGGCATACTTGAATACTAAGAGGAAAAAATCTATTGCTATAAAATTTAACAACAGCCCAACACCCGTGTCTTAAACTACCTAAAGCCGCATTAAAAAAATCAACTCCAAGTGCTTAATAGAATCAAACAAGGTTTATGAAAAGGATGTAGTTGTCATAATTATTTCATATGGACAGATTAATTCTTTTCACTTATTAGAAAAAACTGAAGTTGCATAATGAGGATATAGTCACATGACAAGACACAAAGACAGGAAAGAGAAATAAGCAGCTGCTGGTGAGATGGACAGAGCATCCCAATATGTTTTATTAGAAGGTTCCTTAAATGCAACAAACATTGCTGCTTGTAGATGACTAGGTTTCCAGTCTAGAACTTCAGGCACTCAAACAAAATAGTCAGATTAGATGGCAAGAGATAAGATGTCTCACATTCCCCAGAGAGAGCTGTGATACATTCTGGAGGTGACATCTAGCGCATAACATCAAGTCTTTTATCATTATTTTAGTAATCACATAATAAATCCAGCAGGCAAGTTCTAAGATTTATATAGCCTTGAAACCTCCCAAGCCTCAAAATCCAAGCAATATCATAGTGATCTTGACATAACAGAAAGCCAAAAATTTCAAAGAGGAACATAAATCCCACCAGGACAGACAGACAACTCACACAGGATCACACACCTGCAAAAAGTAACCACAGTGACAGTTAAAAAAAGATTTCTTCTTACCTGCTGCTGCTTCAGAACTGATGCTATCGTTCACTACAGAAGCTGGACTTAGAGGCAAAACGTCATCATCAAAACTGATCAGATCTCCTTCCACATCTAGCTTGTTTTGCAAAGCAGACGCTGAGGAGTTGGCTGCAGGCGATAACTCCCCCAGAGACTTGAAAACTTTTTCTTGGGCAGATACAGAAGCCCGTGGAGGAACAGCAATAGGTTTTAGTGAGGCCAAAGAAAGGGCAGGATTTTCTGCATAAGGTGACTTTTTGGGAATGAGAGGCCTTGGAGCAGGAATAGGAAATTTCTTTTGTCCATCGCTGTTCTCTGCAACCGATCCACTCCCTGCATCAAGAAAATCACTACTACTACTTTTAACAAGGCCAGGTTTTGGCTTCTTTGGCAGTTCAGGTTTGGTTACAACAATGCTCCCAGCTGCTTCAGGTTGAGGCTGCAGTTCCTTGGAAGGTGTTGGTTTGCTTTCTGTCCACGCATCCCAGTCTTCTGAAATTCTGCCCCCCCCTGGCTTTGGAGCAACTACTGGCTTCTTTGCAGTAACAGCTCTTGGAGGGAATGAACGAGGGGCAATTTCTGGCTTTTTTGATAACCCTGAGGTATCACTAGTTCCTTGGGACTCAAAAACTTTGATCCTTGAAACAATACTACTTGGGCTCTTCTCTGTATTCATGCTGTCCATTGCCAAGTGATTGTCTAGTAAGCAGTCATCCAAGAGAGGTGACTGCTGAATTGAAGGTTGCTGCCTTTTTGTGGTTGATTGGTTCACTTCTTCTCCATTGTCTATCTTACTTTCAGTATTTCTGACCACAGGTCTGAGATTGCTTCTTGATCTTGGCTTTGGCACAGGACATACCACAGCATTGGGATTCTCTTGGCACCTCTGACCTTCAGAAATTTCAAAGCCTATTAAGGGATTCTCATTTTCTGAAGACGACCTATTCAGGAGAGATGCAGGAGGCCTAGGAGGTTTAAGAGGACTCTGCCCTGCTAACAGAAAAGAAAAGGTTTCCGTTATCTAGTCCAGAACACTTTATTTATGTTATTTTTTGTCAGCTATCAGCATGGTAAACATGATGGTTTTCATTTGGAACTTACTGCTTCTTGTGAAACTGCAGTCCTCTTTCTAAAAGGACGAACAACAACCACCACCTCTAGGAAGAAGCTAAAGACTGATGAAATGCATGGTATCTACACGCTGTGAGCTCAGAGTTACTTGTTAGTTTGCAACACGAGGGGCATGCAAGCAACATCTAGACCAAAGAATAGTAGAGTCACTTCCCCAAGTGCGTTTGGTTTGTACAGTTTTCAGCCTGAACGCGTAACACTGCTGCTGTTTTGACTGGACATTTGAGATCCTCTGGCCCCAAAGCAATTGCCATTATGGCTGCACTGAGCAAAACTTTCAAGATTTAATTATAGTCTGACTGTGAATGCAATGGTAGTTCTTTAGAAGAAAGGATTTTTACAGACAGCTACAGAAATAATTCATGGAAATTTAATTTTTCTTCCTATTAAATGCTGCACAGAACAATAAGGAACATCTTTAGGAGACAGGGTAAGGTTTTCACCAGTGAGAAATCCAAAACAGCCTCACCTGCATAGCCTGCAGGTTCCCAGTATGTAGACACACCAGTTTTTACATTATTTCCTGGCAAATGACTGATTAGTTCTTCTGGAAAGTCAGTTTGTGTTGCAGAAGTAGTGGTATGTCTAGGAGCAGCAGCATTATTGTTATTTGTTGTATTGACTTGCACTTGATTGATTTCTTTTATCACCTGCTCATATGATGGTGGAAGCTACAAAACAGAGATAAATATTAATGTACAGCCAGATATGATCCTTTAAAAAAAAAAAAAAACATATAAACTTAAAAATACTAAATTAACATATACAGAGAACACTGTCATAGTCTTTTATGCAATGTGATGAAAGTCTAAGAAAGCAAAGCCTCTGTTCCTCTCCAACTTAATGGGCTTTTTACCTTTGTAAATCAAACACACCTCATGTAAATTCATGCTCACCTCAGCTGGAATATGCTCATTTCTCCTCCACTGAGCATGAGATGAAGCAGAAGGGAATCCTAATCCATGAGGAGTGACAGGGCTTGCACCTGGAAACCAGGAGGATGACCGGAGGGGCTCAGCAGCAACTATTGTAATTTCAGGACGCCTGAAAATGAAGGTAAAGGGGAATAATTACCAAAAACATCTTAAAATAGTTCTTCTAAGTTTAAAGACCAAGGTTTTCTCAGCATGGGAAATCAAAATAGCTCAGTCTTTTTGATTTAAAAAAGGATGTTTTTCCACGCTTTCAAAGTAACTTATCTGACCTTTCTAACAAGCACTTACGCTTTCATTCAAAGCACCTAATTAAGCGCCTAAGCCAAAAAGTAGGTTTATTGGCTTCAGTGAAATAATCTACATGCTTAAGGTACTTAAACACAAGTGTAACTCAATTAGATCGAAGAAGTCTTAGTCTTCACGGGATAATGAGAACTAATCATGTGTTTGCCCTTAGCCTGCTACCATCTGAGCACAGTAGGACAGTTAAAAGTGCTTCTGGCTGGCTACCTAAAAGCTTGTCTACGCTCAGACCTCTAGGGAAACCTCCCACTGGGCTGAATTGGGGCAGAGCAAGGTTCACGAGGCCTCTGGGACAGGGTCTATTAGCTTGCAGCACCTCGTACAACGGGAACTTAGGAACTTCTCTAATCATAGAATCATAGGGGTTGGAAGGGACCTCGAAAGATCATCTAGTCCAACCCCCCTGCCAGAGCAGGACCACCTAGAGTACATGACAGTAAGGACCTGTAGGTACTAGCACTGTTTTACCACTGCAACAGCTGCTCTAGAGCAGAAGCTGCAGTGACGGCCCACGTTCCCAGACCATGGCCCCTAGAATACCACTGATCAATCTACAGTCACACACAAAATACATCTTGAGAAGGGAGTTTCGTCAGCAAATGAAGCATCTGCCACAGAAGCCTCTGTCTGCTGACAGAAGCATAACTTCTAAAACTGCTGTAAAAAGAATTCACAAAAAGAGGGCTACAGCTCCTTCACACCCGAAATAATGGCAGACTCAGTTCACCAGCTATCCAGGTTGGTGACCTCCTTTCTCGATACCCTGAGAAACTGGAAGGAGACCTGAAAGTGTGCTTACTTTCATTGTGAAGCAATCCTGTAAATAGGTGTCAGGAAAGTAAAAGAGTTCTGCAGAGGTTTGATGGTTGGTTGGTTGCTTTTTCTTTTTTTTTGAGGACATGTACAAAAGTTGATGAGAAAACTCCTCAAACTCCTTACCTATCCTGTGTTTATGAATCATAGTATTTTTATTTTATTCCAAATCGGATTCATTTTTAAACACACTAAGGAACGAGAGAAGGAAAAAAAATAAACTAGAGGAGAAAGACATAAAAAGAAACATTGCAACACATTCTAACAAGTTTTATAGTAACATCTAATTGCAATACAAATGATAGCATCATACCTTCTATCCCTCTGATGTTCGCTATGGCTAGAGGTCCGAGAAGCTATGTAAAGAAAAGAAACAAAAGTTTTGAAGAGGTTAAAATATACTGTCAAAGCATCTGATTGTGAGGATAATAGCAGAGCCTTTACTAGTCTGCCACCAATGAAACCTACAGCACCTGATCACAAATTTCAGATTTTGAGTGGCCAAGTTTTAAAAAAAAAAAAAAAAAAAAATTATTTGCATTAAATATGAGGAGTTTTTAAAAGGTTTATGGTGCAGTTTCATCAGTTTAAGTCGCTCTATGTCCAAGATACAACCAAGAAAGTTGTTCCTGTCCCCTTTTCCTTTTCGTCACCACACATTCCTCCATTCTGCATTATGGTGACCCTTGAGTTGAAACACCTTTTTCTTTAGTTAAAACAATACATGAATAAAACAAAAAGAAGCATTAAACAGATCTGGCTTTGCTTTTAATGGCTCATTTCAGATGTGTGCTCTTTAATCTTTTTTTAATATCTCTTTTTGTTTGTTTAGGAGAAGAGAACAGTACTAAGGCACAAAATCTAAGAAGCTATTTCACCTTCCATTATGTAAAAATAAAAAAATAATAAATATTCCCAGCTAGAAATTTCCTAAAGCTTAACTATTTGTGAATTAAAAGTTATGTTTTTCAAACCGTGTTAGACAAAATAAGTATCCTGACTTTATTTTTCTATTTTTGACATATTTATATTCAAATAATTTTTCTCAATGTCCACATTATATTTTCATTTTGATTTCTTTAGCAAGAAAAGGAAATTATCCACAGGTCAAGTTTTTGTGTAGCAAGTGCAATTTAGGAACTACTAGAGTCTTCTTGTGCAAAAGCTGGCAATTATGCTGTCCCTCTTCCATCTCAGAATCATTAGCTGAAACCAGCAAAGCACCCTTGATTCAAGAGTTGCACACTGTTGTGTCAGACATACCTCTTCCACAGGGCATTTTTGATGTGCACTATTCATGAGTGCTAGAGGAAAAAAAGAAGGGGTTACAGAAGAGGAAGAAGAGGTGAAGGAGAACAAACCAATGTTTTAGAGTGCCAGAAACTATGATCAAAGGGGTTAGTCACGCAAGGACAGCCGTCACGCCACTGTTGTAAGAATACAACTTTAATGGATATTCACAATATAGCATCTTTAAAAAGCTAAAAAAAGAACCCAGATTTTGTTTCTAGTCTCATACTGACTTTAACAACGGCTGTTTAGAACTTTCCCTCCCAATAAATCAACCACATAAACTGAATATGGAAATATCCACTGTATGGCTCAACAAAGAGCCATGTAGAAATGAGGAGAGGGAAGTCAAATCTCTGAATGCTTTTAGTTTAAGAGCATGGTTTGTCTGGGTCTGCACTTCTTCCCTTTCAAAAATAATGGAGGAGCTGATATAGATGCAAGGAATCTGGGATCCCATAATTTATACTCTCACCTATCAAAGAGGTATGGGCAGGCAGGTTGATCCCAATAAGAGGCACTCCTCAAACCTTTGGGCATGACAGTGCACCTTTTAAAACAGTTCTGTAAAAATTGTTTGGCTGAAATAAGCAAATAAAAATCCCCTACACCTCACCTTCACTTTCTTCTTCAGGGACCTTACAACAGCATTGATGTAATACACACATTAAAGATAAAGAAAACAAGCACACTGACCCAACCCAATCAATTCCAAGAATACTTCTGCAAAGAGGATGGAAGAAAGTGCTAAATATATTCAACACAACTGCTTGGGGTATAGCTGAATTACTATGGTAAGGGCATTAGAAATAAAAGCTAATTAATGAGGAGTATAAAACTGAATTGATAAACCTGTCAAATTCCTTCATTCTTTCTTCTTTTCTAGATGAATTCTACAGTCTGTTTTCTCCTGTGAGGCTCTAAATGTACTTATATTTATTAAAGTTATAGAAACAAATCAGGAAAAAAACTAAAAACAGTCATGAAAGCTCTTTTTCCTTATCTAACATAGGCTAAAAAATTCCAGTTAGGCATCTATGTAATCCATCAAAATCCAAACCAAGTAAACAAGTAAACTCACTTGAAAACAACACATTTAAAATATTTATATAAAAATAACTTTACTAGTGGATGTAAGTATGTCTCTTCAAAAGGGCTAATATTCAAGCTATCATATATGTTTTTGGAATGTGAAAAAAAAACTCCCAGGCATTTATGGAATTAAGCTACTTCCATATACATAAACATTTAATATAAACATTTATTTTATATGGACCTTGACAAAGTTCTTCCCTACATCCATCAACTGCTCCCCTCCCTTTTGCTGTCATGTTTTTGCTGCAACCACACTTTTAGAACATCTGCTGTTTTGGAAGCTCTTAAATCCACAGTAGGAGCAGAGATGAAAGTTACTGCATCTTCAGCTCTCATGTATTCCTTGGAGTTCCACAAACACTCAGGAAAAGAAAATATAAACTTTCTAAATAATCCCTGTCCCCAGACTTGTGCACCTTTTATTCCTTTACTATTTCAAAGAAATTAATTTAAATTAAAAAGTGTATGAGAGAAGACTCGAATTTTTAAAACACAGCACACACCTGATTTTAAAACAAACACAAAAAGCCCTGCAGCCATTTTTCTGGCCTTGTGGTTTTTTGATCCTGTAAGTCCATTCTTCATTCCCTTTGTGGATTCCCTTGAAAAAGCATGTTATTAATTTTTCCCCTAGATTTCAAATTATGACAGCTTTAGGATTTAAAAAACTTTTTTTCTATCAGGGGAGTCAATGGCAATGTATTTCAGTGATGGTTTATACATCCACAACCGAAGACAGTTGGCTCTTCAACTACAGCACTGAGGAATGCTCAGGGTGAGAACTGTTGACATTCTCAGAAGCATATGCTTGGTGTTATTTAAGTAAAATGTAAGCAAAATGGTTAAAGAAGGGGTGGGAAAAGAAAAACTCAGTGCATAAACCCCTCTTTTCTTTGTATTACAGCTTTATTGTTCTCAGGGGAAAGAAAATCAACTCACAACACTGTCACTATATTTATTTCCGTTAGTGTCAATGAGGCATCTAAATGCATTCAACCCAGTACAGTACCATTTAAGCCAGTAAAGGATTAATGGTCATACTGATAAACAGAAGACAGAATGGTTTTTGTATATATTTCTTGCAAGTACTATTTAGTGAGCTTTATCAAATAATTTTTGAATGTGCAATCGCAGAGGGTATCCAGTTTGTGCTGTATACTTATGTTTCAAATGTTTTTCCCCTACTGTTTCTTCTTTGAATCCTACTTTTCAAGTGCACTTAATATGTCATTTGTATTTGAAACACAGATTATGGTGCAAGGGGCATTTTAAGCTATGAGATCAAAACGCCTGTATAAATACAACCACCATTTTATCACAAACCCATAAATCGCAATGGGGTAGACAAGCTGGTGGCAACAGAAGTCTGACATGCACTTTTAAGTCTTTGGAAGAGAGCTGAGCTAGAATTTCCAATCTTTCAGGCAATCTTTTAAGGCCATATAGAGGCAACTATAAAGTTCACTCAGGGGTCTGCTCAGAGATATCATCCTGCTGTGATCACTGAGGGCTGCCACAATATAGACGCTGCATAACATGCATGTGTTTCCACTGGCAAATGGATACGAAATACTGAACATTTGGTTTTGTCATTGCTGACTGTTTTTAAAAAAAAAAGTGTCATTTTGCATTAAGAATTGGGACCATAGCCTCAAACAGCCCAAGCCTTGTGTGAGATCAAGCTCTAATTTTTCTGATGCTTTTTACCTATTGTCCCTTCCAGCAGCTGTGAATAAACACAATCCTGTCAATCAACTACTTCAGTTAATTCATATTAACCATTATAAATAGGTTTCAGAGTAATAACATTACTTACTGCAACAAGGATGCATGCCAATATTTAAAAACATGGCTTCCTTCCATGCTTTTCTAACACTAAGCTAGACATTTCTACAATCTATCCTATGAAATACATAGACTATTAGATTGAGAAGCTATTCTTTTCACTATGCAGCTGCCTAGGAATAAAGGCAATTCATGACAGTATCTCAAGGAGAGCCTCAAGACCAGACAAACACTTCTTTCCTTATCTACAAAGTAATACAACAGAAAAGCTGACAGAACGGTCCATCATGCCTGCCACCTCTGCAATACTAAAGGTGTCACATGGCTGTGAAGACCCTTCTTTAGGGCACTCTAAAAGGATCAGATAATTCTAAAGTCAAAACCATAAAAAAAAAAGCCTGATTTCACCCAAGATGTAATTAGACTGTTTCTGTAAAAGTGGAGCTCCAAACCAACTGGAAATTTTCATGCATCTCTGAAGTAAGAGAATTGAAGATTTCCCCCTGAACTATTTCTTGGCACAAGGGGGAGGTCTTGCTCCTTTCCTTCTAGTTCTGTTTCCAGGTACCTCAGGGAAATGTTCGCTGAATGACACGATAGCTGGTCTGATTTAATGCTTGAATGTAGCTAAAAGAGACGGTAATGCCCAATTCCCCTTCCAAAGATTGGCTTTTGTCCACTCCTGAGCAAACATTAGCACTCATATGACCCCACAGTAAGCAAGTTCAGAGAGTTAAATAATAAAAAAGGCACTTTCTGTACAGTTTTTGTCCATTTTATCTCCCTGAACCTGCTTGCTCACCTTTAGCTCAAACCACCAGCATCACAGAGGAAGGAATGTGCCACCCCCAACAGCAGCCTCTTTTTCCTGCCTCTGTTTCCCACTTCCAGGTCTTTGTGCAACTTCAGTGAGGGAACCAATCAAAAATAATCTTGGGGGGTGACAAGGATTCCTCTTTCCACCCCAGTGAGGTCAAATACTCTTTTCACAGCTGACCAAACTGCTGGGCACAACAGAGGCTGCCATTGCTGCTGAATAAAATCTGCATAATCACACCCTTAAAGCAAGCCTGTAGTTCCACTCTAATTTGACAATAATTATTTATGAAGGCACTTCACTCCTTCCTACACCTTTCCTTGGGCTCTATGTTCCTGCATCTGCACCATTCCCTGCATTATGCCAGCCCAAATGTTTGTGCAGATGGGGAGAGAGAATGAGGTCACGGAACTAATCTGGTTGGAAAAAAGTGGGAGCCAAAAGAACCTAGGAAGCCCTCAAGCAAAACAACAACAAAAAAAGAAATATAAACAAACCCCACAGCCAAAAATGGCTACAAAACTGCCAAATGGGAAACTAGAGACTCAGAGTGTACGCAAGCTGTTACACATCCTTCATTCAGCCACATATTTGCTCAGGACAGAATGAGAATTGAACAAACTTGCAGGTTCTTCTTCCAATATTTTAGGGCAGCTGACTTGCCTCTGTAGCCCTGCTCCTGAACACCACCCTATTCTGGAAGAGTGGAGAAGAGAGTTAAAACATCATTCCCCTTTGTCTCACTACTGCAGCATTTGGCTTGCTTCTTTTTCCTTTCTTTGGCATTCTTGTGCATGTTGATGTACTGGTATCAATGAAAATAGCTTCACTGATTTCAGTGGAAGATGGATTTAGTGATGTGTCCTGGCTTGAGATGATCATTCAAAATCCAGGGGCAATTTTTGAAGAGTTGAGATTAAAAAAAAATTGCTCCCAAGCATCTCTCATGTTCATGTGCTTGCTTTTTTCAAGCACGCTGGGCTCGCTTTCCTGAATCCTACTGAGCGGCCAAACAAATGAAACAAAATGACACTGTCTTTCTATCCATAGATACAGTCAGGGTAGCTGAAAGGAAAAGAAACTCTCTTCCTCTTTGGCCACATGAAAGAGAGACCTACCCATACAAAATCATATAAAGCATTGTCCACAGATTGCAAAGTTGAAACCCTGCACATTCTATCATGTTTCTTGAAAATTAGAGATAAAGAGCCCACAGAAGCTGTGATTAAGAAATAAAGATAGATTTCTAACTCTGTTGGGGAAATACACTTTTCCAGAGAATACCATACTTT